ATTAATCCTTACAGTTTGAAAAATAATTTTCTAATAATATGTCATTAGAATCATTGTAAATCAATATGCAAACAATAAAAATTCATTTTTGAAACATGATATTCTCACTTTGACATCGTGTTTATATCCTATATATAAACCTGATTTTGTTTAAATACCACAGATATATCGATTATTTGTGAAATATGAAATTTAATATACTAGATATAAGTGTCAAACTCTAATGCAAAGTGTAATCCACGTAAAAATTATAATAAAATTCATTTAAATATGTTACTCCTTATAACAATAAATTATTTATTAAAACTTTGAATTTACCTAACCTAGAAGTAAAAAACTATCTATCCACGTAGCATTTTATTTTATGTATCTTCATAATTACTAATTATGATGTTAATTAATACGCTAACATAAAACGTAAATGTATATTAATTGTGAATTTCACATTAAATTAATCATATCAATGATTATAAAATTATTTGGTTAATATATAAATTATAGTTAATAAAAATCATATCAATAATATAACACACGCAAATGCTTTAAATGATCAATATTTATTTATAAATAAGAATTTTGAAAATAACTAATTGTTTCAATACATTTTTATGAATAATCTTGGAGTTTACCAAAAAGAATCTTGGTAACCAATTAAATGTTAACATCGCAGGTATTCTCGCCTAAACCTATGTTAGTCATACAGCCCTAATTATTTTTAGTTAAAAAATATATCGATAGTATCATGGCAATTGGTAATTTATTTTTGTTTTAATAAATATTAAATAATTTAAAGCATTAAGTTATATAATTATTTAAATAACTGAATATCAATAGCTATTAATATATTTATAAAATATATAATATTATACTTTTAATTTAATTCACATGATCAATTAATAATCGCAACATTTAAACCAATTAAATTAGCTGACGTATTAAATTACAATTTTAATATAATGTATTTTCATTATGGGTGTTCATAAGATTTAAAATTAATTATACTTATTTATATAACACTTATACAGTTTTTACTTATAAGTGGACTTATTATGAGCAACAAAATCATAATTGTATTATTTTGTGCCATTGTTTGCATTAATGCACATCGCAATGCTAATCACAAACAAGGTAAACCATAAAGTAAACTAGTAATATTGTGTTCATATACACATATACATTGTTCATGGTTAATTAACTTTAACAAGCTTATATTTAATCACAGAGAGTACTTGTAAGTGTGGTTTGAATGTCAGGAGGTATTGCGGTAATCGGTCGGGAAAGGGAGGTCTGGAGTTGACGGGAAACTGTAATCAAAGTGATTTGTACCAGTGCCAATCATCAAATACCCCAGCTAAGTTGATAGTGGTATGTTCCGGCACTAAGATCTTGAGTCAAGACTCTTGGCCCTAAGACTGACAATGGCCTAGATACATGCCCTGATAATTATCAACGGTAATGTCATTACCTTGATAACATTCTGGATGAATACTATGAATTTTATATAAATTTTATTAGTTATCATTAATAAATTATTATATACAGCACGGTATCAATAAAATAATGAAATGTTAAATGTGTTTATTTATTAATATAAGATTTTTAAGATTAATTTTTAATAAATCACAGAAATCCCTAAAATTATAATAATCTTTTATAAACGTTTATTAATTGTTAATTGATTATTTTATGTTTAATGAAAACTTCTTATATATAATTAAATTATTTTTAATTAAGCAATTTTAAAAATAAACAAACTGTAAATAGGTATGTGACCTATAATTAAATACAATTAAAAGTATAATAATGTAAATGAAAGTATTTATTATAAAACTATATATATTTAATAAAACATATTTTTGCTTAATTAATAATAAAGTGTTTTATATTTTAAAAGCTTAACGTGGAAAAAATGTAGATATGGTGTAAAATACAGAGAAAATTGATTTTTACTTAAAGTTTAATTAGTTTTTAAAAAGTTTATTACAGTTTAGAATTACTTACTTGTTAGTATTCATATAATCAATTAATAATCACATTAGTAAGCCAATTAAATTAGCTGTTTTATTAAATGTTACTTTTAATAAGGTGTTTTCCATATGGGCATTTCAAAGTATTTTACATTAATTATAACTATTCATAATACTTACCCTGTACTTATAAGTTATAATGGATATCAAAATCATAATCTTATTTGTTTGCGTTATTGTTAGCATTAACGCTGACTCTACTAAACACACAAAAACACAAAATAAATCAAGTAATACTGTGTCCATACATATATAGATTGTCCATGGTAAAACCTTAACAAGACCTTGTTCAATTACAGAGAATGGTTGCATATGTGGTACGAAAATAGGGCAGTTGTGAGCCAGTGGACAGGGATAGGGCGGTCAGGAGCTGACGGGCGAGTGTCATGATAGTGCACTCTACCAGTGCGAATCTAAAAAGATCCCAGCTAAGGTAATAGGGCTTTGTCCCTACCCTGATGTTTGTAAGCTTGTCAATGGCAAAGGTACCTGTGTTAAAAAATATTAGCCGTAATAATAACTACCTTAATAAGAATCTAGATAAACAATGTGTGCAAAATTAATGGCAATTGCTTATTTGAATTAATATAAAATTAAATTATAACCATTGTAATGAATAATTGTAAATATAATAATAATTCCAGACTAACAAATACATAAAAAAAACTATACTTTATAAATCTAATTACTATTTTAGTATAATGCAACACAATAAATTAAATTACCTACTTTCTATATACCGTAATCAATAATAAAACTTATTATCATAGAGTTATTCAATAAATAAAAATTAACAATAATTATAATGTAATATTATTATGCTTTAATAAAACCTGTGGTTATAAAAATTTACTGTATATTTTAAAATGTAATTATTCATTAAAATATTATTTTTAATAAAATAATCTAAAATTATTTATTAGAAAAATATTATAATTTGTCAAACTTTTTGCGGTAATCCCTGATCTGTTGTAAATACAAATCGTAGGGAACGACCACTTTCTTGACCACCGGGTCGTTATTCATAGTATTCCTGTAGTCACACAACTCGGGTAACTCTGTCGGGAAATAGTCGCCCGACTTATGGCCCGATAGGTCCACACAAAGGGGTATAATATGCATGAATGGCGCTATAATATAATCTGTAAGCCCCGGGAGCTCAGCACCTACACATAAAAACAACACAATAAATACCACATAAACTATAGGTGCTATTACAGGTTAGTGTCCAGACCTGACAAATACTTAGCACCGGCCCTGCGCTTAGCCAACACGTCGTTCCCCTTTTTAAGAGCCTCGCGAGTGGTGTCCCAAACCCGGGTCAGGTCGGGCTCAGTGAATATGGACGGTATGACTGCCGTCGCCTGGTTTAGGGTCTCGACAAACATGCGGTCGACCGACCACTGGAAGGGGTCTCGGGAGCCAAGGCGTCGTTTGCCGGGTATAGTCTCGTCGAGAAAGTCGGCGATTATAAGGGACTCGAATAGGACTTTGTTGTCCTGGTCAAACTCGATCACTGGTACCTGTCCCAAGGGTGCCCTTTCCATGAACCAGTCCGGTTTGGCCCATATGTTTATGTTGACCACTTCATGCCTGTCCAACAAATAATTTTATTAAATTAATTTTTAAATATTTTTAATTTTGTTGTGTATGTTAATAGTTATTGTACTGTATTTTACACATAATAACTATGTGTTTAACTAATAATACTAAAGATCACTACCGTAATAAGGAAATTGTAAGATATATTATTACTATTAATATTATTTCTAGCTTTATCATAATACACTATGATTAATATATTTATGAAATATGTTAGGGTATTATGCTAATTTTTATCCTCATTATATAATTCCAAGTATAGTTACATTATTAATATAATAGCTATTTATGTGTGTTGTATACTCGCGCTAACTAGTGTTGAAACACTTTGACCAATTAATGCACACACTAGTTTAATTTTTTTCATTATAAACTTTAGAGTTGTTTATATTACTAATAGAAAACTTAAAAACTAGTGTTGTGTGAGTCGAGCATTAATTAGTCAAAGTGTTTCAATACTAGTTAGCACTTTAAAAACAGATTGGCACTCGTAGATGTAAATAGCAAAAGTTTTTAACATTAAATTTAATGTCATTAAGTTTTAAAATATATATATATTCACACTAATTATTTATGATCACAGTTAATTACAACTGTATTAATTATAACCCGGGTATTACTTACGGGATTTCTTTGGCGTTCAAAATCATGAGCACCCGCTGGGCGTATGGACTCGACTCGCGGTAATACAGTCGCAACACATCGGGGTTCACACGGGGCGGGTAGGGATCGCCTGTTGATTGAGTAATAAGTCAATTAATTAAAATTAATTATAATAGATACCTTGCTTATAATTCTTAGCTTTCTCTTGAGACATAATCAATCTTTTAGTGTATAAATGACAATGATAATAATCACTGTTTTTAAAAATAATTTGAGCTAGTTTATTATAACTTTTCACTAAAAACATGTCTACATTAAATAATAATAATAATAAATTGCGCGCGCACTACACATAAACCGGTTTAAAAGTTTGACCCTGGTTATATTTTGTGAATTTATTGCGGTAGATTTAACATGTACAACTTAATAAAATCATGTAGAATTTAAAAATGTTTTAAATGTCCAAATGATATCAGTTTAAAAGTGCATGATGATAAGATGTTTAAAATGATAAAGTTTATTTCTACAAATAACTAGATGGCATTCCTATTAGGGAACAGTAGTAAAGTTTGAACATTCATCAAATGTTCTGCAAAAATATATTTGCCACCGGACAGTTTAATTATAATAATTACAAGTTAACTAGATTAAAAAAAATAATTTTATTTCAATAATTATTTCTTATGAATTCACAAAATATTTTTGAGTTTAAAAATACAAAAACAATTTGAAATCAAATTATTTAGTCTCAATGGACACGTGTAATACTTCAAACCCACCAAGTACTCGTTGATAGTCTCGATAAACACCCGATAAGAGGGGTGACCCTCGGGAACAGGATCTGTGGGTTTGAGACATAGAGAGTGGTCTCAAAACACGTTAAGCCGGGGTTTGGATTGAGTTTTACTTTTATAACGTCTATAATAAAGATATGTTTTGTGAGCTGAGTGTCAAACCCCTCTCTGAACCCATAAACCACACAACTTATGGTACAGTAGGCCAGAGGTGTTGGCCACGCGAGCGGACCTCAAACGGTCAGTCCACCCATAGGCGGAAAGGTATGCATAGTTGTACAGCTATTACAGGTACACCACTTCCACATCACACACCAGTTAAACCAATTAAATTGTCCGTTGGATTACATTTCACTTTTAATATACTGAGTGTTTTCGTATGGGTTTTTGAAACCATTTTCTATTCACTAAAACTATTTATAAAACACTTCTACAGAGACTTACAAAGTGATAATGGACATCAAGATCATAATTGTATTAGTTTGCATTATTGTTTGCGTGAGCGGGGGCGGCCGTGCTAAGGGCAATAATAATAACCAACCCAAAGGGCAAGGTAAATTAGTAATATGGTGTTCATGCACACGTGCCATTGTGCACGTGATTATGCAACACTAACGAGTCTGTATTCACTTTTAGGGGGAGGGGGTCAATGTAGCTGTACTGGGCATCATAACAAATTTTGTGGCAGTCGTGCAAAACTGGGCTCTCGTAAGCTGACGGGAACCTGCGATCAAGACTCTCTCTACAATTGCCCGGACCCAAGTGGTCAAGCTCAGTTTGACGCGAAATGTACAAAAGTAGGTGATCCTACAGCAACGTACTCTAAGACATGTAGAATCGCCGCACGAAATGGGCAAGATGATTCCTGTTATACATAGACTTGTACATCCCTAACCTTGATCACATTTTAGAATGAATATTGTGTTTGATATAAGTGTTCATATGTATTACATTCAATTGTGTATCAATAAAGTTAATTAAATATCAAATGTGTGTATTATTATTAATATAAATATTTTTTAAAATTATTTTTTCAATATAATTTGTAATACTCTGTATTACAGAAAGCCTTAAAATTATAATAAACATATTGTATATGAAAGTTTACTAATGTTGTTAATCATTTATAATTAGTTTAATACTATTAGTGTAAATTATTTTTAATTATGCAATTTTGCAATTTTTAAAATAAACAGCAACTTATTTTTAATTTAATTATAATCACTATAATAAATCATTGAACATATAAAAAATTATAATTTAAAGATCTAATTACTATTTTAAAATAATATTTCAAAATTAAGTTTATCAAAAAATAAAATAACCTAAATTACACACATACTATAGTAACTAGGTAAAAATTAATTTTATTTCAATAATTATTTGTTATGAATTCACAGAATATTCTTGAATTTAAAAATACGAAAACATTTTGAATTCAAATTATTTCGCAGAAATTCTTTTGCGAAACCCTTTCGCGATCTCAATGTACTCATCGTAGGGGACGACCAGTTTGTGGACAGTCGGGTCTTTTTCTATGGTATTCCTGTAGTCATACAACTCCGGCAACTCCGTCCGGAAATAGTCGTCCCACTTATGGCCCGATAGGTCCACACAAAGGGGCAATAAGTGCAATAAAGGCGCTATCATATAGTCGGTCAGCCCCGGGAGCTCAGCACCTACACATTAAAAACACATTAAGTACTACAAAAACTACCGGTGTTTACATGATAGTGTGTGTCCATACCTGACAAATACTTAGCACCGGCCCTACGCTTAGCCAATAAATCGTTAGCCTTTTTGAGGGCCGCCCGAGTGGAGTCCCATACCCGGGTCAGGTCGGGCTCAGTGAACACGTACTTCAGGCCCACGAAGTACTCGTTGATAGTCTCGATAAACACCCGATCGGAGGCCCGAGTGTAGGGGTCAGTGGACCGGAGTTGGCGTTTCCCG